GAGAGAGAGAGAGAGAGAGAGAGAGAGAGAGAGAGAGAGAGAGAGAGAGAGAGAGAGAGAGGGAGAGAGAGAGAGAGAGAGAGAGAGAGAGAGGAGTCGTGCGACCATTCCTATGATGTGCAATGCCGTGGGGATACTCTGGGACTGGACGCTAGAATGCAGGTGAGTGGGACAATTCCTATGATGTGCAATGCCGTGGGGATACTCTGGGACTGGACGATAGGATGCAGGTGCCGCCACTACGTGTCCTCACCACCCAGATGCGGGTGCTTGCAACAACAGGAAAAGACAAAAGAGAGAAAACACAAAAGAGAAAGTTCAAAGAAGTAGATGAGAGGGGAATATACAGGAGCACCAAAAAGAAAAAAAAATCCTGCTAAACAGGTGTCATTGTGCCACAGGACTTTCCACGGATACCACGCTTACAATCACAAGCCAAGTATCATGTTTTTCTTTTTTTTTTTTCTTTTTTTTTTTTGTTAAACAAAGCGTTTGTTATATTCCGCATGACCAAAGAAAGGTGTGCAAACAGTACATTTGCGACTTCAGATCTTCCTTTCTTTTTTTGGGGGGGGGGTAGGGCGGTATCAATCCGGACGGTCGGGCCGGACGTCCAGATTGGTTCGGTGTACCAGTCCAGATTTTTCCTCGTATTTGGCTGTGAATTTCCGAGATGATCCTCTACCAAAAGATTTTTCTATTGCAATGCTGTATAACATGTCTTTTTTAAGTTTTCTTTCATACCTGCGGCGCATCCAGTGTGCGGGCACCGTTGCTCCTTGCTGCGAGAAATCTGAAGCGATCCAAAAGAATGAATACTACCGACTGCCATTCTTAGTTGCTGGAAAAGCGAAGGGATGAACCAGCCTTTCTTCTCAGGATTAAAAGAACAGCACTCGATTGGACATCTTACTCCAGTGAACCTGTTTTGAAGGCATTCCACCAGTTGAGCTGGCGACTTTCACCGCTTCACCACCTACGTGCCCTTTAAGCCTAGTCATTCCGAATAACACTTGGCCCCCCCGTCTTACCACAGCTGCTGGCTCGGAGTTAGCCGGGGCTTCGTCTTCGGTTTTTCTCATAATCTCACTACCGATGAATTCGCACCTACCGGCAGACAGGGGAGGGAGCCTAAATCCAAGGACTTGGAACGCGAAACCAAGCACGTCGCATGCTTGAGAGTTAAGGACACTTCTTCTTCAAGTGTTGTACGCTCGGCGAATGGGACGAAGCAGGGCACTAGCCAGACTTTTGAGGCCTCTGCTTTGACATGCACCGATATTCATAACCTATTCAACCAAAACCGTCTTCACCCGAATAGAACGCCCGGTCATTATCGCTGGATCTGGAGTGGAGGTTGGGCCAAATGCCGCTATAATGACTGGGCATTCTATTCGGGTGAAGACAGTAAGACAGTAGTTTCTTAATGGCATCGGACTATATCTTCAACCAGAGAGATAGAATGGTTGCTAGGCATATAGCCTCTGACGGTCCTACTTGTTGCAATCAACGATTCCAAATATTCAACGTCATATAAAACACCCACAAAAAAAGAAAATACATCATAAGAACAACACTTGGGTTTAAACTTTAAATGGCATTCACACTTCCCATTCACAGATGAAATGCAGCTTCATAGGTCATGGTACCATGGTGCCATCTTGCGGTGACTCCCGCTGGGTCCTCACAATCCATCTGACCTCCCGATAGATGAGTACTATGGGCACCTCCTGTGGCCTGGCCACCACCCTCTTTTACACCCTGGACCTTTATATTTAAAAAAAAATAAAAAAAATGCAGTTTCTATCAGCACCCACATTTATTTTTTCTTTTTTTTCCTTTGGTGAAACACCCACCTTCCACCTGTTAGGATCCTGCTCCTGTCCATTAATCAATCTTGCTAGCAGAGCCACAGAGCTCTTTGCGTAAGCTGTCAGCCGTCTTAACACCTGCACAGACGACGAAGTTAAAAAAAAATATTTTCAAAATTTCAATACACATATATCGTCAAACAGAGCTGCCCGGTACTACATTCCTAATACAAACACTCTGACTCAACAAACTCAGCGTACTCGTCAGCATGCACATGACGGGAACACCTGCACAGACGACGATGTTCAAATTATCTTCAAAATGCCAATACACATATATCGTCAAACAGAGCTGCCCGGTAATACATTCCTAATACAAAACACTCAAGTGACTCAAAAAAAACATCGTACTCGTCAGCATGCACACAATGGGAAGCCGTATTTGGTCCAGATATCGGATATCGGAGGGTGGACACGAAGTGCACCAAGACACGGAACAAATTGAAATTTCCGTTCTTTTATCGGAAAAAAAGATTCCCCTCAGTAAATGCAGAGGACATAACACACCAGCGAGCCTAGCTCAGTTGGTACGCGCATGAACTGTTGAAATATAGACCCAAGTTTGAATCCACAACTAGATGCGTGGAAAACATGACACGACGTCCCTCCGCTCCAGTGACAACCGAAGAAAAATGATGCCATGACAAGGCTGGGTCGGCAAACGGTCGGTTCAGCTCACCCGGTGCAACCGGGGCCGGACCGGCACAGGGGGGGCGAACTTGAAAACCGGTTTTCAAAGAAAAATGCACCAGTTTTCTAGGAAGATTTTCATGACCGGCCGATCACCGGGGTGAGACGCCCGGGGTGGTCTGATGCCCGGGATACTCAGGCATGGGGAAATTGAAAAAAAAATAATAATAATAAATTCACAGTGGGGGTTTTCGGCGCGCTCCGAGGAGCCCAAATCCGGGCTCTTTTCTTTTTTTGAGTGTTGGCCGTCAAGCGGGGGGAATGGGAGTATAAAGAACTAGATGACCCGTTGCGGCTTTGCCCGCAAAAACAGAAAAAGAAAAAAGCACAAAAGAAAGAAAGCGCATAAGGAACTGCCCTACCGTACGCCGCTTCTTTCACAATAAGAAAAAGAAGAGCCTGAGAGCAGATGAAAACCCGCGTGCAAGAAAATAGCAGGGAATACCACCGAACATTCTTTTTTTTTAGCTTTGCGTGTTTTGTTTGGGGAGCTGTTACCTTTACAGCATCGTTTTTGTTTTGTGCTGTGCAAGAACTCTGGACTGTTCTGAGAAAATCCAGTCCGTCGTCCCGTTGATGTTTTTGGTAAAGATTCAGAATCAGACTTTGTTTGCTGTGTTCACTGGATATGTTTGTGATCAAGCGATCTTGCATGTATGCCCCGTGCTTGCTTGTTGATTTTTGAYGCTATGTGTGCAAGTGCATGCGCGTGTGGGTGAGTCTCAGTTTGGTGGGCTCCGATGATGTCAGTGATGATTGGCCCGGGGAAGGTGTTGGAAGGTGCCTCCAACTATAGGAGTGCTGCTGATGTTAAGCAGGTTTT